GTATGCCAGTCGACCGACTTCCTCGAAGGGCTCTTTTCGCACAACCACGTGAAGGGCGGAAGAGAGCCTGAGGCGGTCAAACACTAACTTGGCAGCGAAGTATGAAAGCCATTACCAGCAAACTCAGCTGCGCTTGTAATTGCCGTCTTCCTGGATGGGGACCCCCAGACGGGCCACATCAATGGCTGGAGACATTGTCAGACATGGCCCAGTCGCGTCCTCATTGGCGCTTGTGCATCAGAGCTATTGCCTTCAATGCATAGCTCCTTTTCCACTCCCCTCTCCACTTGACAGCCCACTGACAGTGCTGGATTTATGCACCAAGTTATCAGCTCCCGCCTGCAACGCGCAGCTACCTATCCCTCCCCCACAAACCATCGGTGAACGAAACTGCGGCAGCTACAACCACTGTACGACGAGTACGCGGTTATTACACTTGACAATGATGATGATGATGACACAACTTGAGTGGTCCTAGATAGTTCATAGATTCTGCGAACCAAATGTGCTTAATTCAAGTTGTATATGATGATGATGATGACACAACTTGAGTGGTCCTAGATAGTTCATAGATTCTGCGAACCAAATGTGCTTAATTCACAGTTGTATATTATTCTTTTAGCTACATGTGGTTATGGGTTCCAGTCAGCATAAGCTTATTCGAATTAACTGAACTTGGGTTTCATCAGCTTAGCCTTCCAGTTCACTTCGTTCCATTCTTTTTTCTTTTCAGGTCAAGCAGATGCTTCGTACCACGTTAGAACAAGCCGCTTCTGAACGAATGCAGCAGCAAAACTTGATTGCCGCCTACAGAGCAATCGCCTCAGACCTAAACCGGAGATGTAATCTGTTGCAACAGCTACACCGAACACAACATTCGGACAACGGAGACCCAGACTCAGAGCACATTCCTGACTCCTCGTCCGACACGGACTCATTGTATATGCGACTTCTCTGGGTGCTATTGCAGCAGGCATCTACCTGTGAATCATGTGGGCCCGTTTTGGAGGCTAGCGTGACACAGTGGAAGCGAGATTTATCACCGCCTTCGGACGCCGACAACGTCGATGAATTATTGGAGGATTTCCTTGTCAACAATGGTGTGGAAAACTCCACTCGAGATGAGGTAAGAATGTTCATCGGTTATTCATAATTCGTCTTTAATTTCGGTGTCTTCTTTGTTACACTCACAGCCAGTCAAAGTGTCCAGATTGCACTTCGCAAGCTCGTTTTCATCGAAAGTGACACAACAACGATCAAGCAAAGTAACTGTCATTCTTAGAGAAATACGCTCCGTTAAATACCAATTTCGTTTTCATGGGAGACTCCGGGAACCCAGTTGAATCTCTTGTTTATGGTGATATTATCAAAAACGAGAGATTCGGCTGAGTTCCAGGTGAGTCTTCCACCAAAAACAAATTGGTAAGCAAATGAGTGTAGTTCGCTAATTTCGTGCACTTTGGGTTCAAGTAGAACATGAAGTTGACGGAAACTTGGGGACTGCGCCCACCAGATGGGCCTCATGAAGGGCGAAACCGTTCGTTGGCTGTCGAAGAGTTTTCAGCAGCGTTATGAGTAGTGCGTTACGTTTATAAGTGTCATTCTCTTCTCATCACTGATTGAGCTTCTCAGTTGTTTTATTGTCTGGATTGTTCATGATAAACAAGTCTCTCAACTAATGTCAACAGCATTTGAGACCTAGAAGATACTAGAGCTCAAGCAGGCCAGGCGGCCCTTTCGGATGGATTACCATGATAATAGTGATAGTAATAATTAATAATAATTAAGTCATGTTGCCCAGCTGCGTGCCGCTTGCCCAGTTTTTGACCGCAAAGTCGAAATCGAGCACTTGTACGATATCGTTTAACACTGGGTAATTGAAATCATAGTCATTGTTTTAATGCGGTGTTCATGAATCCTCGGACTTAGAGTGAGATGAACTGTTTCCAACCAAGCTAGATTGGATGGATATCGAACGACGAAATCCCGAAGTATCTCATAGAAACTGAACTTGGTGACTGTGTCTTTTAAATATTCAAGGCTGTTCGCGCGAAAGCTAATGGTCACAAGTGGAGGAACTTCAGGAAACAGTTTCTGAGTGAAAAAGTTTCGCTTCGTTCAGCTACTCATGAGTAGCCACGGTAACGTTGAGATCTGCAAATTCACGCGAATTTCTTGCATGCCTTTCAGCTTCCAGAAGTGCTTTCAGAATCGACTTATCAAAATGCTCAGAAGACCTTGTCAAACTATGCGCCTTTTACGGCCAAAACGGCGGCCCTCAAATACTTAAAACCGAAGCAATGGCTAGCTCAAACTTTCAACACACTGCGTGCTATGACCAGTAATGATGGTGCCACTTCCGGTGACGAGCCGCGAACGAAATCCCACTCATTCGCAGATCCTCAAACTCATGATCAATCCAATGGATGCTAATCACGTGTCCCTTGATTCTTCACCATACTCAGAGAGCTTTGCCAATTCTTGTCTCTCCGCAAGTATACTCGACATGTTTCTCACCACCTATTCCCCTTCTCACATCCGATTATCTTCAGTTATTTGTAAATATTGCTTTCTGCTTTCAGAACTCCCAACCGGGCGGAGCCAGATTTATTCTCCAATTTCACTTCATTTTTAGAACGTGAGTTTTGCAAGCTTCTGTCTCTGGGCCATTTGAATACCAATCTACCTTCTGATTCTTGTCTTTTTCATTGTTGTCCGGGGTGGACCGTCATTACCATCAACATCGTACTTTGCTCTAATGTTATGATGGTTATCTATGTCATGTGCACGTTTTATCGTCCTGGCACAACCTTGTGTGCAAGTGAGTGTAGAGGGACACTCTTCAGCTCTAGCACCTCAGTGACGGCGCAGCGTGGCGGCCGAAAAGAGAAACCATCCGAATGCCCGGTCTGATTACAGCCACAGCACTCCCTATTTGTAGTACGGCCTTCCGACTTCCAGTGAATCAAGTGAGTAAAAAATAAATATATTCGGTGAAGTCCGAGGTTTAAAGAGCTTCTTTTGGTGGGCATACCAACCCTTGTTCAATGAAATTAAGCTATCAAATCAGGCTTCTAATTCGTCAGTCAATGAGCTTAAATTACAACTTTTTGAGGGTTTTAGGCCAGGATAAACTGGATCTGCTTGAGATGTTCGGAATGTGGAGTTGGACTTACTCAGGATTTCAAGTTATTCTTTTTAAAGGAAGAGGCATTTCGACCCGTCTTCAAAGATGGCGAAACATAAGGAATGAAAGTGGTATAAGAATGGTGTTGTTGGGTTTCCCGGTATGGAAATTGAAGTCACGCTTAGTTTTAACAATCCCAAATATCGAAAGGGAGAATTCGGTTCGAAAATCTACGATACTGTTTACACAAAGGCAAGCAAAATCGTACAGCAAACCTCGATTGTCCACGTTCGTTGGCTCCGTAGTGTGGCTTGTCGTCGCCCCTTCCGAAAACAGTCTCGCGACTCGGATTGCTGATGCGGCTACACTTAAATCGTGAGAGAACAAGTCAGCACAGACTCAGCAAAAAGGTACGAACATGTAGGTCCGTCGCCCACATTCACACACGGATACATATGCTAATATATACCAGTGTCGAATGAGACGGTCTTTGTGGCAATGTGAGTGGTGGGTACAGATGAACAAGACAAATGGACATCAAAAGTACATGGGCAGAGTAGGCAAATGAATGAAGGAATGATTATGAGGTCATTTGAGATTCAATAGGCGCCAACGTTCATCTCAAGTACACAGCAGTCATTTTGTTTTCCCAGCTAACCACCGTTGTTCGTGTCCGTTATCCTTCCCAGACATTTTACAAATTGTTTCTTTCTCGAAGCAGATCGACCAGATATGCTTTTTGTGTTTTTGCCCTTTCCGCAGCCGAGGGTTCGGTGTGACTCGTTACCGTGTGTGATATAAGCAGATCCTCCCCCGTACAACACATTTTATTGACCGTCCATTTTCCGACCCATAAGGCTGATGGTTGTATTTCTGTCTAATGCTGTATCGCATAGCTGGTTGAGGTTTGTATGGAACTCATTACCGATTGCATTGCCCGGAGTGCCTGTCACGGTCTCTCCATTAGCAGTGCTCTAGTTTGACAATCGTTTCTCAACTTTATTCGTTTCGGATGGTTATATGCAGTTAGGCAATCCTTTTGAACCCATGTTCATTTTGTTCGAAAAAACCAGCTTTTTAATCATGTTGACCAAATCGTTGTACTCAAATTCAGTCGCGTAGTCTGGTGTCTATTCGATCCGGCTTCACTCATCAGACCAACAAATTTTGTATAACATGGTTTTTTAAGCGTACCACCAACCAACCCTGGGGTTTGGGGTCATATTGTCCCACTCTTTTGCCTTGGTTTTTCGGATTTTGTTTTTTCCCCTGCTGATCTCTTAGCGATTATGATATGATCGGATACCTCTGCGCGTATATCTCTTCGTTGGTCGTCTATCATGTTAAATGCGGTCTGTGTTGAACTCTCTTTCGAAATCAGTGTAGAAAGTATTCGGACGATCACTTTGATGGATGAATTCCTGATACTAGCTTTCAATTCGATTACACTTGTACGATTAACCGGTAGTAATCTTTCACTTGCCAATGGGTTGACCTTTTCTGGAGAAGAGATGAAATATCACTTGCCATGGGTGTGGCAAGAAGTCAACACGCGTCCCCAGGATAAATGAATGCAAAACTGGGCCCTAAATTAGAAATATTCGACGGGCTGTAACATTTATTAGGATGAACCCCAGTTCGTTTACGATGCCAACCGATGGCTGGAAGCTATTGATCTGTGCCTTTTCGGCTGATGGATAGTTCTCAGCCAATTACTTTACTCACCTACAGTTTGTAGCAAGACCCTAGAGCCACACGTACGCAAAGGGACGTGGAGGATAATTCAGCACAATCATCCAGGTGAATGTTCCATACCTTAGCGCAAGTATTTTCAGAAGTACGCATCTAATCATGCACCATTTCCCCTGTTGTAATCCACCACAGCAATGATTAAACTTGTTGCCCGTTTTTTCAAGCCTGTTGATTGAGGTAGTCAGTTTTGAGGCTTTCCAAGAGATATTTCTGGCATCACAGATCTACTAATAAATAGACCTACTAGGACAAGAATCCCTTTGCCGATTTACCAGATGTTATTAGCACCGAAGTTAGACGAAATACTCTACATGGACGATACTGACACTGTGGTCATCATACATACATCCATACATTCGAATTAGTATGCTGTGTGTGTTGTGGGTGTTATGTCCAAGGTTCGGAAGGCACATATGTGGTGCCGGATTCAAATGGCACCATCATTAACATGGACTTATAGTAGAGGGAGAAGAAAAACGGGTTTAGGTACTGCCTAGAGCGGACAGGTCTCTCGAGTCCTGAAACCATATTCTAGATTTTGGCCTTCCGTCTGGTTAAATTGGTCGAACGTGAGTTCTTTAAAAGATAGTAGTTGGTACTTTTTTCCACATAATTACTAATACAGCTGTTAATCAAGTATCATTTGTTTCTCCAGCCTACACTGCTGTCCCCCAGTATGGCGTATGTGTGTGGGTGGAAGGAGTACACAGAAGGTACACTACACTGCCTTGTGTGGAAGTAGATCCGTACGTATTATACCACACTATGAGGCATGTGTTTATAGTGAGGCGTATGTCGATGCATAAGTCTTCTGATGGCCCGAAAATCGTCGGAGTTACCTCTTGTTATCTTTGTTCCACTTGATTCCATTCGCCGTTGGTACCTGGAATGTGGTCCATTGCTTTGTACTCAAACCGTGGGTTATGTCTGTTAACCTGGAGACAGCGTTCTTCTACACACCCGATGCCAAAGCATGAAATACCAACCGGATTTATAGTCCCCAATGGCAAATGTTACGAACCGGGAAAAACCCCTCGGATTATTCCCAAGTTGAGATAGACGCCTCAATTCAAACATATGTCCGGCAGACTTTTGCGCAAAACAGAGGTTGGACGGACAATTAACCAATATTTGATAGTTTCGGTGGTCATACACCCATCTACGACTAGGCCAATCGCCAGGTCAACTTTCATGCACGCAACTCCAGGTTACGCCGCGTATTCATCTTCATACGGCATTGAAATCGCTGTCAAATTAAAAATAACAGCTCCTCAGAGTATTTCTTAGGGTCGTTATTTTGAATGAATGTGACACTATGAGTACCACTGAGCAATTTTCGCACCACGGGCAAATGTGTAGACGCCAAAAAAGAACATCCCAAGGCGCTCCAACGAGGAGCTCTAAACTACCATGCATTCAACGAGTGTATCTACCTAAATGAAATCAGGTTCACCAAAATAGAGCCACCTGAGCCAAGAACGGATATCACCAATTAGTTTATAGTAACAACTGAAATGGTGTTAGAAAATACACAACGTCAATTCTCACGATCCAAATTCGTTACAAGCTGCTGAAAATGACTGAGGATTAATGACTTCTTTGATAATAATTTTGACTCTAGAGCTTTCGCTTTCGAGCACAAATTGTGTATCTCAGATATAAAATTTTCCTCTTGTTTTCTGCTTTCCCTGAAATGATATCAAATTTAAAACTGTCAAAACTTCTCACTGAATTTGAGATAAAAGGCACATCAGTGACTCCGTTATACTAGACAGTTGCTCTAGAAGGATCAGTCTCACGTATGTGATCAACTGAGCTCACTTTCTCCATCCATACTCTTAAATTCTTCACTTTGTATTCTTTTCTCCGGTGATACCGTTCTTTTGATATTCCGTCCTGGGAATTGTGATTCATTATTTCCCATGAAGGACTCGAAGTCTGAAATAACTGGGTCTTCCGATTCCAAAAACTTTGCAGCCGAAATGGTGGAAAGATCGCCAGGCCTTTATTTACCGTGTCAATACACTTCAAATTACTCACTTTCTAAACATTTAGCGCGAAAATATATTACTACTTTGAACTGGCGCGATTTTATCCCGACAATAGGAGTTCACTTACTGCGACACGTACGAGGTGGTTGCTCTGGCTACTCACATCTAGGACATCACTACTGACAATGTTTGCGGTGCTTCATCAGGCTCTAGCACTGCTCCTCAATTTTGCGGCTTCAAGAAGGCACCGCCAAGAAATCTCCCATCGTTGTTCCAAAGAGTGTCTTTAACTGACGTGTGCAGCCAGTGGCGGAAGCAAATCAGGATGAGCTGTTTCAATGTGCCTTCAACCCAGGACAAGAGAGGGTCTTGTTTTGTGAGCACTGGTCTCGAGAAGCTTCTGTGCTGACCACAGAGGATAGATGCAGATCCATACAACAGAGGTGGATCGATTACTTAAAAGTGAGGTAGGAAGCAGTGGTTACTAGCCGAAGAAAGTCGATAGGGAAATCCTATAAAAGTGGATTTATATCAGAAAATCCATGCAAGTAAGTATGCACCATGAAACGATGTACTGTAACAGTAAGTAAAAGATTGCGGGTTAGAAGGGTTCATGTCCATTCGGAGCTGTGGAGCATACGATGTCGGAAACAAATTCTCAGTAATTTAGCAACCAGTCCAGCATATCTGTGAATACTGCGAAGCGAATTCAGCTCAAGTTCCCCTAATGGATAGTACGGACCGCCCAAAGACGGTATTTAGACACTATGTTGTGGAATGGGCGGCAATTTAATCACGGAGCATCT